AAATTAACTCAAGATGGATTAAAGATTTAAATGTAAAACCTGAAACCATAAAAACTCTAGAAGAAGACCTAGGCAATAGCATTCAGGACATAGGCATGGACAACGACTTCATGACTAAAACATCAAAAGCAATTGCAACAAAAGCCAAAATTGACAAATGGAATCTAATTAAACTAAAAAGCTTCTGCACAGCAAAAGAAACTATCATCAGATTAAACAGGTAACCTACAAAATGGGAGAAAATTTTTGCAATATATCCATCTGACAAAGTCTAATATCCAGAATCTACAAGGAACTTAAACAAATTTACAAAAGAAAAACAATAACCCCATCAAAAAGTGGGTGAAGAATATGAACAGACACTTTCCAAAAGAAGACATTTATGTGATTAACAAACATATTTTAAAAAAGCTCATCCTCACTCATCATTAGAGAAATGCAAATCAAAACCACAATAAGATACTATCTCATGCCAGTCAGAATGACCATCATTAAAAAGTCAGAAAACAACAGATGCTGGCGAGGATGTGGAGAAATAGGAATGCTTTTAAACTGTTGGTGGGAGTGTAAATTAGTTCAACCACTGTAGAAGACAATGTGGCTACTCCTCAAGGATCTAGAACTAGAAATACCATTTGACCCAGCAATCCCATTACTGAGTATATACCCACAGAATTATAAATTGTTTATTATGAAGACACATGCACATGTATGTTTATTGCAGCACTGTTCACAATGGGAAAGACTTGGAACTAACTCAAATGCCCATCAATGATAGAATGGATAAAGAAAATGTGGCCCACATACACATGAATACTATGCAGCCATAAAAAAGAATGAGTTTATGTCCTTTTCAGGGACGTGGATGAAGCTGGAAACCATCATCCTCAGCAAAGGAACACAGGAACAGAAAACCAAACACCACATGTTCTCACTCATAAGTAGCTGTTGAACAATAAGAACACATGGACACAGGAAGGGGAACATTACACACCTGGGCCTGTTGGGGGGGTGGGAGAGCTCAGGGAGGGATAGCAGGGGGTGGGGAGATTGGGGAGGGATAACATTAGGAGAAATACCTAATGTAGATGACAAGGGGATGGATACAGCAAACCACCATGGCATGTGTATACTTATGTAACAATCCTGCACCATCTGCACATGTACCCCAGAACTTAAATTATAATTTTGAAAAAATCATATACATTTTCTTTCAGCTACTTCTTTGGCTATAACTAACTTTTTCTTCCAAAACCTCAGAGCTGGATGGTGTGTCCAATACCATTAGTGTTCGTCAAACATCCACGTGCACCTTGTTCACCCCAGCCTCCCTTGCAGCTAGTTTGGGGCCAGGTTCTCAACAGACAGTTTAAGAAACAAGACCATGACAGAAATTGCGAATTACATTCTTTGTAGATATGCTATGTTTAAGACAATAGCATAGAGAGGTCCTCCCTCAACAAAACAACAGACTACATTATTTGGCTTGCAGGAAGTGAGGGATAACACCATATGGGCAAAATTATTTAAATAACCAAATAAATAAATACATCTTGGAAAAGAGAAAATGAGGTAGTAACAGATAGGAAAAAGAACTGCAATTAATTTATTGTTTGTATTTTACTGGTAAATGCGCCAGTTAATTGAATATCTAAACTTATGATAAGACCAATGCCATCAAGATTCAGAAGAAATTCCATAGTTAGACATAATCCTATAAGCTTTATGGTCACCAGAAAGCATGTATCCTGTGTAAGAGAAGTAATTAAATTGGCTAATCTTGGTAAAAAAAAAAAATACATCTTAAACAGAAATGGGAGTAGAGCCATAAACCCAAAGGGAAGATTGGCTGCCCCCAGAGCAAAGGAAGCTCTCCGCCATACCCTCTGGAGCCTAAATTTAGAATCAGTCGTAAAGTGAGTTGTAGATGGAGGAATTTCTGGAATAAGCCGGAAGTCTGAAAATGGAGTTGAAGTGGTCTCAGTTGAGTAGTACCAGCATCCCCTTGTCAGTTCCTGATAAAATGTACACAAATCCTCTCTGGAGTAAAGCCACCTTGCTTTCGATCCCAGTGATTTCCATACTTAAGCTCACAATCAAAGACTGTGAATGTAACTCCAGAAAAGAAATCACCAAAAGTGAGAGTCAGCCAAAAACAAAAACAAATATAAAAAAAAAACAAAGAATCAACATCAGATTTATATGCTGTATCAATCAGGTTAGGCCAGATTACCTTGCAGTAACAAACACTTCACAAATCTCATGGCTGAACACTGAGAAGATTGATCTCTGGCTTGCTCAGTCAACCGCAGGTCTGGACAACTCTCCAGGGTCAACTTGCAGAAGATGGAAATGATTAAAATTCAAAATAGATGGTTAATTTCAATTACAGGTGTAGCAATAACATGTTAATTTCTTAGGCAATGGAAAAAATAGTGAAGATCAACACATGACTTTTAAGAATTAATCATGTTAGGCCAGGTGCAGTGGCTCACACCCATAGTCTTAGCATTTTGGGAGGCCAAGGTGGGCAGATCACTTGAGGTCAGGAGTTCGAGACCAGCCTGGCCAACATGATAAAACCCCGTCTCTACAAAAAATACAAAAAATTAGCTGGGTGTGATGGCGATGCCTGTAATTCCAGCTACTTGGGAGGCTGAGGCATGAGAATCTCTTGAACCTGGGAGGAGGAGGTTGCAGTGAACTGTGATCACACCATTACACTCCAGCTTTGGTGACAGAATAAAAAATAAGACTCTGTCTCAAACACACACACACACACACACACACAATTATGTCAGGGTGTTACACAATAATTTAAGTGGAACATTAGAATACACACACACACACACACACACTATGTAAACATTTTAGTAAATACACCATGACTATCAATCAGAATAGAACAAAAGAAAATTAGAACTACTATAGTAGATTGAGTGGAATTTTTTAAGGGAATCTTAACATTTTTAAATCGTGTGGTAACAATATCATCACCTATGCTCTATGTTCCTTTCAATAGCTTCCCTTTAGCCACAATGATCAGATCTGTCAGTAAAGACCTAGAAAACATGTTTTTGAGGATGCTGAGGTTTTTTTCTCCCTTAGCCTGTGTTTAAAATATTGTACTTTCCCCATAACGGGTGCTCTCTTTAATCTTTTTTTTTTTTTTTTTACATTTTTTTAAAGTTTAATTTTCAGTCCTGTCATTTTTTTTCTCCCAGAAATTTAAACGGATTTCTATTGCCATGTATTCATTCCGGTGTGTTTGACAACTGTATTGAAATCACGCTGTAAGCTCTTGTAGAGCTGTTTCAGCAGTACCATACTTTTATTTTATTTTATTTTTAATTTTTTATTGCATTTTAGGTTTTGGGGTACATGAGCAGAACATGCAAGACAGTTGCCTAGGTACACACATGGCAGTGTGTTTTGCTTCCTTTCTCCCCTTCACCCACATTTGGCATTTCTCCCCAGGCTATCCCTCTCCACCTCCCCCTCCCACTGGCCCTCCCCTTTTCCCCCCAATAGACCCCAGTGTTTAGTACTCCCCTCCCTGTGTCCATGTGTTCTCATTTTTCATCACCCACCTATGAGTGAGAATATGCGGTGTTTCATTTTCTGTTCTTGTGTCAGTTTGCTGAGGATGATGTTCTCCAGATTCATCCATGTCCCTACAAACGACACAAACTCATCATTTCTGATTGCTGCATAATATTCCATGGTGTATATGTGCCACATTTTCCCAATCCAGTCTATCATCAGTGGGCATTTGGGTTGATTCCAGGTCTTTGCTATTGTATTTTAGACATTCTTTTGTATTTTCCCTCTTCTTATAGTGCAGATCTTCTAGAAGCTGTAACAATTGGAATTACCAATGATTCCTGCCTTAGAGATAATGAGTATCAGACCTTGTCCTGAGAGAAACTATTAAAGGAAGGAGAGGCTGGGGAAGAAGGGAGACAGTGACTGTTTGCCGCGATACTGAGGCATAGACTTTCCCTGGGGAGGCGGTGGGGTTCACAAAAGAGTGATCAGGAGAAAGTCACTCCTGACACAAATCTTTCTGAATCATCTGCTGCTTTTTAACCTTTGAGTTCCAGTTATCCTGGCTCAGGATAAAAATAATCCCACCCCTGGTCTCCTTTTTCTCCTTCCGAGGCTGCAAAGCGCAACAGCGGACTCTTCTGGCTCAGGAGGGCCCGCGCTCCCGCCCACTTCCTGTTCCTGCATGGCCGGTGGACACGGCTCTTTCAAGCGCAGGTCTCCAGCCCAGCTCTCCGATCACATTTTGCTGAAAAGGTAAACAAACATCGGCTGTGTCCTCCATGTGTTGATACACCATGGAAGCTTTTCTCTGCCTCCTCCGAGGCAGAGTATGAGAGTGTGTGGCCGGGAGACAAGAAACGTGGCCCTTTCTCTTGCCTGTGGGTTGCTGTGGGTATTTGTATGTGTCATGTTTGGATGTGTATGTGTGGGTGTTTGTGTTATGTGTGTTTACATGTTTGTGTTTACATGGATGTGTGTGAGCGGGGGGTGTGTGTGTGTGTTGTGTATGTATATTTGTGTTTGTGTGTATGTGTTTGTGTGTTCACCTGCATGTGTGTGAGTGGTACATGTATTTTGTGTGTGTGTGTGTTATGTTTGTGTGTGTGTTGTGGTGAATGTGGGTTTGTGATGTGATAAAAAGAGTTGTGACCAACAAGTCCGGAGAACATTCTGCCCTGTGACAAACTCACTGCTTAATGTTTGGCCTCTCTGAGTTTTGCTTTCTTCCAGAACAACATGACAAGGGTGGCACTATCTGTTTCATCTTCTGTGTCGGAGACAAAAAAAGCACACTGTGGCCAATGTGGGAGGTGCCTTTCTGGGCAGGGTCCAGGAGGAGGTGAGAGGTGCCTTGAGGGCAGACTCGTTCCCCCTGCCTGGGCCCTGCGAGGGCACAATGCAAGTTCCTGCACGTCACAGCCTAGTCCCACCCTGCTGTTGTTTCTTGTTAAGCTGCCTGCCCTTTCTCTCTAAAGGAGGAATGAGATTTCATTGGTAAAGTGCTGCCTCAGTTTCCACCAGGGATGTAAGGAAGCCAGGGACAAAGAGATTGAGAGGCCACCAGTTAGGAAGAACTGAACTCCCTTTGGTAGGTGAAATATTGGACTCCTTCCAGAATCCTTCAAGTCTGAGGAAGGCTGTTCCCCGGCCTGCTTCTTCTCTCTTCCTAGAAAGTCACCAGACCTTCCTGGACTCCCCCCATCCCCAGCCCAGCACTGCAGAATTGGTCCTTACCAATCATAAAGCAACATCCATATATACACTCCTGGGATCTGATTATCGACTGGAGTGTTTGCCAGGTGAACAGAGTAGAACAAACATCCAACAATGTGACAATGAGAAAAACATGTCTATCAGGGTCCCCGGGACTTAGGTTTCCCCACACCTCAGAGCCTTCATCTGGATCTGTTTCATCTGGTTATGAATGTCTTACATGATCTGGAAAAACAGTCATGGGGAATACAACTTCCTCCTCAGTCCCACAGAGAAAATCCAGCAGAGACAACCTTATGAGATTTTGACATAGAGAACTGTGTTAGTCCATGAAGCCAGGACACATTGCTGTCATGGGAAGGGGAGAGGAGTTCCTGGTTGGGAATGATGTGGCCCTAATTTGCAAAGAGGATGAAGAGTTGCTCTAAAAAATATTATGAAGTGTGCTGGGACCTTAATAGGGGAAGAGGCATCTAGCTCAGGCCCGACATGCATACTGATGGGATGCCGAGGCTGAGGCAGAGCTAACTGGTGGCTGCATCTTCCCTGAGACCTCTGGCTTCCTTCCCAGCTCAGCTCCTGCAATCCCAGTCCCCTGTAACCCTCACCGCACAGCCTTCTCCAAAGTCTGGCTCCAAGGCCCACCAAATGGCCTCTTCTAACAACATCCTACTCATTCAAACCCTCCAGGCACACTAGACCTTCCTGCTGCTCCCAGGACACATGAAATCAGAATCATACCTGCTTCTGTGCTTCCCTTCTTCCTCCTCCTGCTCCTCCTCCTCCCCCTCCTACCCCTCCTCTCCCTTCTCTCCCCCTCCTCCTCCTCCTCCCCCTCCTCCCCCTCTCCCTCCTCCCAGTACAGTTCCAGACCCTGTGTCTATCCAAATTTCACCCATTCCTCATATCCTGGCCAATTGCACCTTTCTCTGTAAAATCTCTTAACCTCATGATGAAGATCACAATGGAGGGGGCGGGGTATAAGGTCCCTAAAGAAATAGCCTCCCTAAAGCCAGCAGAGACTGTCTCAGACCCCTTCTTCCCTTGCTTCACTCAGTCCCACCCCAATCCTAAACTAGTGCGAACAACTTTCCTCTGGCAAGAGAAAAGTGAAAGGCAGGTGGCTGTTGAAATTCATTTGGAAAGTCAGTAGAGCACATGATTTTTTTTTATTTTTTTTCATAGATGGAGGAAGAGGAATACGAGCAAATTCCCCAGGAGAGCCCCCCGGGAGAGCTGTCCCAGGAGAGCCCCCCGGGAGAGCTGTCCCAGGAGAGCCCCCCGGGAGAGCTGTCCCAGGAGAGCCCCCCGGGAGAGCTGTCCCAGGAGAGCCCCCCGGGAGAGCTGTCCCAGGATTCTACGCTGGAGCTGTCAGGAGGTAGAGCGAATGAGGAGAGAGAAGCAGGTGGGAAACATGAGGGGTACGGGTGGGATACAGTTCCCCCACCATGGTGTGCTTGGAGAGAGGCAGCTGACGTCCCCCAGTCACATAAATTTACCCACCTCAGCCACCATCAGAGGCCTTTGGGGTGGGGCCCTCCTTACCACCAGCCAAAAATAAGGAAAAAGACCCCTGGATGGGTATGGTAGATGAAAGGAGGTGAGAGATAGCACCAATGACTACATCATCTTGCCAGTCCCAAAGGAAAGGCTTTCACATGGTGGATGTCATTCCTCAGGAAGATGTGCTGACAGTGGGTGTGACAAAAATAAGTGGCCCTGGACCGAGGCTTGGATCCCAACAGACCCTGCATGGGTGTTTGGCTGACTCCGAAGTGGAGCTGTCATGGTTGTAAGGTTGAAAGCACCATGTGAACAAGCAGGCCTCAGATCTGGGCTCAGCCTGATCAAGGGCGTCCCCTTCCCAAAAGCTATTGCACAGGGTCAGGCACTTAACTTTCGTGGGCTCAACTTCATCATCCATTCTGGGGAGGCAGGATTTAAAATGCTGGAAACCCAGCCTTTTCCTGGCCAAAGAAATTATTTGTGATTCATTACGTATTTTAATATGAATGACCTTATATTTTACGAACTTAAATGGCTTGAGCCATCTGGAAAAAGCCATACTAATCTGCTATTTAGGGAAATTACCAATACCTGTGCTAACACCTATTTGACCTTTAGTTACAGCAATCAGGGTTAGCTGTTCCTTTAAGACTCCTCTCCAGAGCTCAAGCGATGCCTCTGGCTTTAGTCAAGTCCAGCAGTGTGTGCTAGCTCCAGGCTGCTCAGATGGGGGTTCCTGTCTCCTCTGGCTCTGACCTGGGCTTGGTAGGAGGACATGAAGTTCAACTGCACAGACTCTTGCCCATTCACTCAAATTCCTTTTCAACTACCTTGGGGAAGCTGGATGGGGGCTGCTGTCACTCAGTTAGAATTGGTTTGTGTGTCAGAGCCAAGAGTGGCAGGTAGTCCACAGAAAGTCCTGTTGGTGCCCAGGAGATTCAGGAGATGACCGCACCCGTGCTGCCATGCAGGCTTCATGCTCCGTCATCTGAGATACATCAGTGTTGTCAGTGGGGACTAGACTGGGAAACCAGCTATTACTTATTACTTCTTTATGTGCTCTGGGTCTTGAGACCTGCAAGCCCAGGAGTAAAGAATTTCCTTCCTGACTTCTGCCCCAGTCACATCTAAAAATCTTGGTATTGGGTTTCTTGGTGTCTTATTGATGAAGTCTCGCTCTTCTCTCTTGGCTCTGCTCTTCCGCTGGGAGAGAAAGTTCAGCCCCACTTTCAAGGATGTGGGCCCAGAATGGGGGCCCAGGGCTGGTTTCAGGGCAGATGTTGGTCTTTGACAATCTGCCTCTGTGGTCTGGGGGTACACCCAGGGGCTCCTGGTGAGGACAAGTTGGGGTATGTGGGTCCTAACCTCAGGTCCCTCTGCTTTCTTTGGATACTTCTAGGTCTGAGGGAGAAAGAACAGAAGACCCCAAGGAGACTGAGGCTCATTCTTGTGGGGAAAACAGGAACTGGGAAAAGTGCAACAGGAAACAGCATCCTTGGCAGGAATGTCTTTGAGTCTAAACTCAGCAACAGACCTGTGACCAAGACCTTACAGAAAGGGAGCCGAGAGTGGGCTGGGAAGCAGCTTGAGGTGATTGACACACCCAACATTCTGTGCCCCCAGGTCCTGCCAGAGGTGGCAGCTGCTATCCGCCAAACCATTGTCCTGTCTTCCCCGGGGCCCCACGCTGTGCTCCTGGTGACACAGCTGGGCCGGTTCACAGATGAGGATCAACAGGCAGTCAGGCGCCTGCAGGAGGTCTTTGGAGTGCGGGTCCTGGCTCACACCATCCTGGTGTTCACCCGGAAAGAAGATCTGGCCGGTGGCTCCCTAGAAGACTATGTGCGAGAGACCGACAATGAGGCCCTCGCCAGGCTGGATGTGACTCTTGCACGGCGCCATTGCAGCTTCAACAACAGGGCGCAGGGGGAGGAGCAGGAGGCCCAACTGCAGGAGCTCATGGAGAAAGTTGAAGCCATCATGTGGGAAAGTGAAGGCCATTACTACAGCAACAAGGCTTATCAATATACCCAGAAAAACTTTCTGCTCAAAGAAATACAGGAAAGGCAAGTAACCCAGGGACAAGGCTCTGAGGACGTGCCTGGTGAGGAGTCGTGGCTGGAAGGGCTGTCCCAGATCCAGAAGGAATCTGAGGAAGCCCACAGATGCGTGCTGGGAAGTCCTTACCTTTGAGCCTGTGCTGGACTGGAGCCAAGGACACCATCAGCCCCTGTACCCCGTGTCCAGCCCTCTGTTTCTCTTTCCATCCTGTGGAGCGCTTCCCAGTCTTCAGGTCATGACGTCTGGCATAGGAAGAGGGATGTGGGGCTGTAGGACAGGGTCCAACGTGCACAGATCACATCCCAGTTCCTTTATTCCTTCTTCTGGAACATCTGAGTCTTCCTCCTTTGTGCCCCAACAGCACACTGCCTTCCTATTGGACCTTCCATCTCATTGGCATTGCCTTTCAGGGGTACTTGTTTATACCCTGATAGAACCAAAGCTTCTTGAGGGCAGGCCTGCGACTTTTTCTTCTGTGTAACTTCCACAGCTTCCGGGCATTGGAGTCGTGCAGTCACGTTTGGTGCATCAACTCCTTGTGAACTGTTGACCAGATGACATCTGATCTCTCCCCCACCATGACGGTTTAAGATGCCTGTTTAAGGTGCATGTGGGTGGAACATGGCAGTGGTGGAACATGGCAGTTGGACATGGGGAGGGTGGGAGACTGGGCTGGGAGGAGAGCAAGCAGGAACAGGAATGGAGGCAGGAGGAGCAGCTCTTTTATTCATTCTTGAACTGTAACCCCTCCTTTCTCCCTTGGATAATGGAGCATGTGGATGGGGTGAGTGTCTGCATGTGCAAACGGGTTCCCTAGCAAGGTATTTTTGGGGGTTGAATGCAAGGAGGCAGGGAAGAGGTTGGGGCTGCAAAGGAAACGGTGGAGTGACTTAAACATCTTGCAAAGCAGCCTGCCTGGTTTTTGGGAGAACTCTGAAACCCATGATGTTTTTCCTGGAAGGCTGTTCCTACAGAAGGGGCTTATAAGAAGTGATAATGGACAGGATGAGAAGGGAGTTGGCCTGGCTCAGGCCTCAGTTAGGGAGCTGCCTGTCTGCCTGCAAGAGGAGACAGATGTGCCTTGGGTGCACCCCGGCTTCTTCAAGTCCAAGATGCTCCTGGGGAGTTGACTGACGTCTGGAAAGATAATAAAAGGCAACAAGGAAACTGCTCCCCAACATATTCCTTTGTTTTTCTTCAAGCAGCGAGGCAGGGGGTCCTTAGCTACTTTTTTCCAGGAGGGGTGGGAAGTGCAGCTGGTGGGGACAGTGCTGGGAGATGATCAGAAATCGCAGGGCACAGCCTCAGGTCTAGCTGGACTCTCGTCCACTGTTGGAGATGCTCAACCTGTGGTCTCCTGCTTTGAAGCCATCGCCCATATCCCCCAGATGCAGCAGACATCTGAGAAAGCATCAGTGTTTCTCTTGCTAACAGATTCAGAAAAGTGTCTCAAAGCAGAGCACAGAGTTATTTGGTGTATACTTAAGATAGCCTTTGTGCCACAACCATTTATTAAATAAGTGATCAATTTCCCATTGGACTAAAAATGCAACATTTATCATACATTCAGTTCTCATTCACACTCAAGATTTGTGTCAGAATTTTCATTTCTGTTCGTGTCTTCTACTTTTCTACTCCTATGTAAATAAAATATTGATTTGATTACAGTGGCTTTGACTACAATATGGGAGCCAATTTTCACCTTAGTCTTCATTTTTATATTCACCTTGTTATTCTCAGGCATTTTTTCTTCTATGTGAAAGTCAAAATCATTGTGTAATTTCCCAAAAAGAATCCTATTGGTATTCTAGTTGGCAATGTCTTATATGTGCATTTGAGGGAAGTGGTAAATAGTTCAAGTATAAGCTAATCAAGGCCATTTTGCTTCTAAGTGAACAGACTTGAAACTCCAGAGCTACTGAAGTAAAAGTTAGACTCATTTGCATTTTCATTCAGATGGGAGATGATTTTGTGATTTTCGATGTGATTATTTTAACTCTATTAGCTTAATTAATGTCATCATAGAATACACAAGCATTTGACCAAATGAGATCCATTCAGTGACTAACTGGCAAAGCATGTCATTTATTAAAGGTTATTTTTAATTACCTTGAATATGCTGTTTTCTCTCTTTTATTACTAAGCACTAGGAAATATGTCTCCCATGACATTTCAGGGAGAGGAATAGATGTCTCTGCATAGCTCTCACCTTTTCAGCCTCAGAAGAGCCTCAGAAGGCAGGTGTGGGTGTGTTCTAGAAACTCTAGTCTACCAACCAGTAAGAAATCAGTGGTGGGGGTGATGGTGATGAGAGAGGGCTGTCTTGACCAAAGCTGTGATAATACAGCTTTTAGAGTTTGTTGAAAATATCTCTACACTAAAGGGAAGGATGAAAAACAGGGATTTGGAGAATTTGAGCTCAGTAAGTAGAGGGTTTTTCCTCCTTGGTGGATCAAAGCAGCTGTGGAGTGTCACAGAAAGGTTCAGCCTCTAACCTTTCTGTGATAACATTTATAAAGTGTATAGAAAATGTGAAATAATAATACTAAGAAAATAACTTTGAAGGCATGGGAAATGGCCAAATGCAGGTAGACGCTGTTACAGAGAACTTGACCCCTAAGACGAGGGGACCACACTGGTCTCATCTTGATGCGGCTTTTCACATTAAGGCACTATCCAGTCGTGTGGATGCAGGAATAGCACTCACCAGATGTTCACAGCGTCCTGCGGGGGAGAGAGGGTGGACTTTGGGACAACCAGAGCAGGTAAAAATTTACAGGGGAGTTCCACAAAATAAAAGAGCTACAGAGTGGGGAGATGGGGTGGTGGGGATTTGGAGGGTTGGTACTGAAAGCTCTGCATTTCTCCCTTCACATCCTTGACTGACCCTGAACTGTACAAGCACAGGGCACTCTCCAGAAGGCTGCAGGAAAACTTCTGCGGAGGCTGAAAGAACTGATCAGAGATATCAGCAGTTGCCCACAGTAGCAAAGAGAATTGCAAGTTCCAGTCTGTCAAATTAGAAGACCTTGGTAAACTTGTACATTTGCACTGAAATTAAAAAGGATCATATTTTAGGAGTAAGTATGGCATCTCAGAACTAAGAGACTTGCCCTAGAAGGAAGAACAAAATTAAAGCAAACCCTTGCTAATGATGTCTAAAATCAAGCCTTCCCAAGGCAAAAGTGATCTGCCAGTGATTTAAGGACCTATTGGAACAAACTCAAAATTCTGCAGAAGATACAATATCCAAAGCCGCTACAACATATGCAACATCCTGTACCCTATTAAAAAACCCAAATGCTCATGGATGATAGACTGGATTGGAAAAATGTGGCACATATACACCATGGAATATTATGCAGCAATCAGAAATGATGAGTTTGTGTCATTTGTAGGGACATGGATGAATCTGGAGAACATCATCCTCAGCAAACTGACATAAGAACAGAAAATGAAACACCGCATATTCTCACTCATAGGCGGGTGATGAAAAATGAGAATGGACACAGAAAGGGGAGTACTAAACACTGGGGTCTATTGGGGGGAAAAGGGGAGGGCCAGTGGGAGAGGGAGGTGGGGAGGGATAGCCTGGGGAGAAATGCCAAATGTGGGTGAAGGGGAGAAGGGAAGCATAGCACACTGCCATGTGTGTACCTACGCAACTGTCTTGCATGCTCTGCTCATGTACCCCAAAACCTAAAATCCAATAAAAAATTAAAAAAAAAATTCTTCTTCTCAAACAGATAAATATAAAGCTATAAAATGTCCTTCTGTGCATGTTTGTCTGTATTTCACACATTATTACCCTTTTTTTTTTGAGACAGAATATTGCTCTGTTGCCCAGGCTGGAGTACAGTGGCATGATCATCACTCATGGAAGCCTCAACCTCTTGGGCTCAAGCAATTCCTCCACTTCAGCTTCCTGTGTACCTCGGATCACAGGCATGCACCACAACAACCAGCTTAATTTTTAGTTTTTGTAGAGATAGGGTCCCACTTTGTTGCCCAGGCTGGCCTCAAACTCCTGCGCTCAAGCAATCCTTCTGCTTCAGCCTCCCAAAGTGCTGGGATTACAGGCATGAGCCACCATTGCCTGGCCCATATTTTAAAATATTCTGTTTTCACTGTCATTCCATTTAAAATACTTTCTGTTTTTCTTGTGATGTCTTTTTTCACTCATACACTATGTAGAAGTGTGTGTTAAAATTCCACATGTTTGAGTATTTTCTAGAAACTACAGTATTCAATAGGGTAGCTATTATCCAAACATGGCTCCTGAACACTTAATATACAGGGGTACATCTGAGAAATTAAATTTTAAATTGTATTCAGTTATCATTAGTTTTAATTTAAATTTCAAAACAGTATAAAATACTTTACCATGAAACACAACTTTACAGTTTTGTTAAGAGATACACTCACCTCTAACTGTTGCAGCACTTACGATATTACAAATCATTCCTGACTTATGATGGTTTGACTTAGGATTTCTTGACTTGATGATGATATGAAAGCTCTGTGCATGCAGTAGAAAGCCGTGTGATACCTTCTCACGTGGCTCAGTGGTGGCAGTGAGCTGCAGCTCCCAGTCAGCATGCGATTACTCCGGTAAATGCACTCAATAAACCCAACCTAACTGGTCATACACTGTAGTACACTACAGGGTACTGTGTTGCCAAGCCATAATGACCAGTAGGTTGGGTTTATTGAGTGCATGTGAGACTTTCAATATTTTACATTACAATGGATTTATCAGGATGTAACCCCATTGTAAGTTGAGAAGCATCTGGGCCAGGCATGATGGCTCACCCTTGTAGTCCCAGCACTTTGGGAGGCTGATGCTGGAGGATAATTGGCCCAGGAGTTCAAGACCAGCCTGGGCAACATGGTGGAATCCCATCTCTTAAAAAAGAAAAAGAAGAAGAAGAAGAAAATTTATATATAAAATAAAGATGCACCTGCATTGGACTGCAGATGTGTTGCCACATAGATTATTTTCAGCATTATGTATAAATACATCACTGCTCTAGTCAGTGTCAATGGATTGATTTCATTTGAATAATTTTTTAATCAGGACATAATATCTTTATTTGAATATTTTATGTAGATAGCATGAGTTATAGTTACACCTATCTATATTACAACCGATAATTAAAGTTAAATGCTAATTATTTTATTTATAACACAAATTATTTTTAGCTTAAAATAAGCATAGACAAGTTTTTAATTTTGAAGTGAAGGCATAACACTGATGCAGAATTGAATGGAGATGATTAAGCTAAACTATAGATGGGCAGAAGATATGCTTCAAATTTCATGATTAATAGTCATCATAATATGCCACAGTACAGCAAAACAAAAGAAAATTTGAAAACCCCACCTTGTCTGTTGTGTAAAATAATTGGAAAGATAATGGAGTGTATTATATGAAGACATTTTCAGCAGTTACCTAGGGTGCTTGACAAAAAGCTTTCTCCCAACAATCAAAAACAGAATCAACGATGTTAGTCACCTGGAGCAAGAATTAAACACCCAACAACAAAAAAGTAAACAATTTTTAACAGGATCTGAGCTTGTGACTGACAAATATAAAACTTGGATTATTGCACACATGCACAAAAAGTTTAGTTGGAGAGAACATAAAATAAATTATTCAGTTATAGAAAGTTTTGTTGGAAAATGTGGTGGAAAAAAACTAAAGAAATTAAATGTATAGGAAACATGAAAAATCTTCCATTAAGGAAAAAATTTTAAAATAATAACAAAGACTAATAATAACAAAGACTAACACAAAAATGTCCATAGAGGCAAGACTTTTTAAATAATAACAAAGACTAATTAACCTAAAATTGGAAAATTCATAAGTATTTTTCTTGAGCAGTAGATGAGAAGTGTGATATAAGTGACACCATCTTACAAAGACTTTGGAAATGTTTTACCTCAAAATTTATGAGAGATATAAATTCAAGACAAAAATATGAATTAGTGGTATAGATTATCTTAAAATCTTTTACACTTGTCAACTAAGAATTTTGCTAGATATTCAGCACAAGTCCCTTGTGATATAAGTAGTCTTATTTTCATATTTTATGACCCAGGATTACTGAGTCTGTTATTTCTGAAAATTATTTTGCCTCCATTGTTGCCAAAGGGCATTTCATGTTTCTCTACTGATACAGAAGAGTCAATTAGGAAAATTGAAGCACATCTAGGTATTAAAAGTAGGATGTACTTTTGGTCCAGGGAATTAGAGACTGTCATACACTTTGGAGAGCTAGGAACGCACAGGCCCAGGGAGGGTTATCAGTGCACAGCGCTGGTGGCTTTCAGGTGCTCTTCTGCTGTAACTTGCATCTGTGGTTCACCCATTGTCTCTTTGCTGTCACTGTCAGAGAATGGTCCTCTTTATTTCTCATCCATGACTCAAATCTCACCTGAGTGCCTCTCGTTGGCTCTCATATGCTCCATATGGGGAAAAGGATGACAAGAAATGTCATTTCAGGCTCTTTCTCTGTTACTCAGAGAACTTAAGAGAATTAGTGACAGGAATCCAAGATGGCCGAGTAAGAACAGCTCTGGATTGCAGCTCCCAGTGAGACCATGAAGGGTGAATGGTCACTGCATTTCCAGACAGATTTTTATTGCCCACAATCCAGGAGATTCCTGGGTGGAGGAGCACCATTGGCCCCAGTGTGGTGGTTCTCCACACAAAAATTCACACAGATCCAGGTGCTATTTCAGCTGGTGACTGGAGTGCCTGGGAGACAGAGTTGCCCATTCAACTGATAAAAAGGGGACTGAAACAGAGAGCCAGGGCAGGAGATTCCCAGATGGAAAAGTGCCACAAGTCTCCAGCGAGGTTGTTTCAACCAGTGCAGTGGGTATCTGCACAAAATCTCACACAAATCTGGGTGCCTTTTCAACTGGTGACTGGAATGACTGGGAGACAGAGTAACCCATTCAACCAAAAAAAAGGGGACTGAAACAGGGAGCCAGGCCAGGAGATTCCTGGGCAAAAAAGCACCATGAGTCTCCAGAGTGGCTGTTTCAGCCAGCACAGCGGGTCTCTACACAAGAACTCACACAAATCCAGGCACTGTTTCAACTGGTGA